AGTACAAAAAGTCTGAAAATATTACAACTCAATCAAATGAAATAAATTTCGTAGTACGATTACTAGATAACAGTTGCTCGTACTTATTTATTCGGATCATGTACGGAGTAACCCATCGTGTGGAAAAGTAATACCCTGATAAAATTGAAAATCGCAAATAGTAAGTGAAAGTACCTCAACGTTGTAATCTCGATAAAATTGAAAATCGTTTCTCCAACTAGCCATTAACAAGCTCGAAATCGTAAAGGGAGAATGTTGAAATTGTTACATATAAATGAAAATACAAATTTCACTTCACTTAACTAATATCAAGTTCATTAAATTAACATTAAATTCATTAACATTTTCAAGAAGTCAATTTTTTTTTTCTTCCAACCACCTCTAAGCTTATGTTTTCAAAATCTATTTTCTATATGTTTTTAGTATAACAATATTGTTTTTTTAATATAAAAAAGCATAATACAATTTAAACTAATTTAATATTTAAGTTTTTAATAAAAAAAAACGACGAGCTATTATCTGAGTTTTTAGAGATTGTTGAAAATTGCTGAAATTATTATTTAAATATTAAAAAACTTAAATAAGAATTGATTAGTTACTTTTTACGTTTTAAAGTCGGAAAAAAATGATGGATTATTTTCTGAATTTTTTAAGTTGCATAAAGATTAATGATATATTATATGAAAATATAGATAAAATGAAAATTAAGAATTTGCATATGAATTTTTAAAGTTTTTATTCGATTTTTATAAGGACAAATTATATGACTATATACAAATGGTTAAAATTTATAAAATTATAAAATAAATGATATATTATTTTTTATAAATAACAAAACTATTTTCTTTTCAATTTATTGGTTTTAAATTTAATTAATATATAATACAAATAATAATTATAATTAATATAGACTAATAATTATTATTATCTATTAATTAAAAAACAAAAAAGTAAGAGAGAGAGAGAGAGAGAGAGAGAAAGAGGAGACATAAGAGTGAGGGAAAAAAATCAAAATTTTAAGCCATTATTAATAGGTTTTCTTTTAATTTTTTTAATAGGTGAGGATATAAATAACAACCTTTTTTTTATCAATTACTATTAATAAGTTGTTTTTTAAAATCTAATTAGTAAGTTATTAATCGTTAATAATTAATGTTTTTAATTTATTTTTCAAATAGTAATCAAATAACTTACTAATCGTTATTATTCAACAATAAATCTGCTTACAAATGTAAAATTATTTTTGAAAACATAATTTTAAAAGCATGAAAAATAGTAAAATTATTTTTAAAAACATAAATTTGTAACTCCAAGTTACGAAATGTATCATCATTCAAAATTAGTAAAGTAATAAAATCTAAATGATTGAATTAAATTAGTCACAATTTAAATTATTGTTTGAAAAATAGTAACATCTTAAGATGAATCAGATTTTTAAAAGAAATTAAAAAAAAATGGAATTGTTTCTTAACTTAACGTTTTGTTGGAACTTGAGAAAATAAAATACGATTCAGTTGACAAAAATCTAACAAATATTGAAAATACACAAACCTTGTATGCTTATTTATAGCCATCAACAACTTAACAACTTGACACTTGCAATTAAAATCAACATGAATCATTCAAACTTGCTTCTTCTCTCCTTTYTYCTTTTCTCTTTCTTCATTTCCTCCTCTTATTCTTCCAATAAAACATGCTCTCTTACACAGACTCRTGCTTTGCTTCTCTTCAAACAAAATCTTCTCTCTTATAATCACTCGGATGWTKAMTATSATKMTTWWTGTGWSMAWTGGCKTGGTTCCGACTATTATCCAATTATGATGAATTGGAACACGAGTACTGACTGTTGTARTTGGGATGGTGTCACTTGTGACCACTTCACCAATGACGTCATCGCTCTCGACCTCAGTTGCGGCATGCTACGAGGTACCATCCACCCYAACTCCWCCCTCTTCAWCCTTCMTCACCTCCAAACRMTCAACCTTGCTTTCAATRATCTTRCCAATTCTYRACTTCCAYGTGAGATTGGAAGGTTTTCTAATAGTCTCACACATCTCAACCTCTCTGATAGTGGGTTCATAGGCCAAGTTCCTACGGATATCACAATTCTTCGTAAATTGGTGTCTCTTGATCTCTCT